CCCAGGGACAGATCGCCGTCCTCGTTCTTGAGCATCTGTTGGGCGGCAGGCGATGGGGCATGGAAACCAGCAGGGGATCGTTAGAAGGGGAATGAAGCCGGAGAAGGATCAGGTCGGGGACCAAGGACCGAGAATGAGGGTGCGAGGACGAGTAGACGCAGGATCTGGGCGGAATAGACAGATGGTTCAAAAGGAGGAAGTTTGCGCGGCCAAAAGAACGAGGATCTGCGTCCGAGGGATGCATCTGACGGAGCCGCGACGCAGCGCGACGAGAAACGCACCCGGCCGACGGACTGGATGTACTTGTCGGCGCCGTCGTGGAAGTGCGTGCCGCCGCCCGGGAAGCGGATCTTGTCGCCGTCCACCACCATCCAGTGCTGGTCCGACTTCTCGGTCGCGAGGAACGGGTGCGGCACGTTCGACTTCCACACCACGTCGCGGCTCTCGGGCCACCGGATGGGCGTCTGGCGGTGGAGGGGGCGAGGGGCGAAGGGCGAAGTGACAGTTAAGAATGAGGCGAGAGATACAGAGAGATCGTGAGAGCGAGAGTCATGACAAAAAACGCGTTGACTGAAAGATAAGCAAAGCAAGCTGTTGGGAGTCAAGCTGTATCCCAGAGGCGATTGTCGGACGAGACGACCGACGACCATCTCTCCACCTCTCCTGCTCCCCTCGCGGCCGTACCTTGTAGTCGGCGGGCGGCGGCACGAGGCAGCGCACGCGGAGGTTGGAGGGCGGGCAGTGGCGCTCGTAGTGCTCCATGAGGCTCGTACTGAGGTGCAGCTTCATCTTCTTGTGGATGTTGTGGTCCAGGCACGGAATCACCTCCGACAGCTCCGGGTCGCACACCTGCCGCGCGCGCACACACCGATCGATTAGGCATTTTTTTTTAATTCCATTCGCGATTTCGTTGCAGCGTTTCCGTGACTAAGGTCGGGGCTTGTGATCATTTAATTGGGACAGGTACAGGGAAAGACGAGATCCGGGCTAGCCGAGAGGACATGGACGTGCTACCAGTGATACAGTGCAAAAAGCCGTCCGTCGTATGGTGCGTCGTACTCACCGGAAACGCGTCGATTTGCTGATCGTCAGTGGACTGGTCTTCATCGCTTGAGCGCTTCTTAGACTTCTTCTCCTTCTTTGCCTTCTTGCTCTTCTTCGACTTCTTGCTCTTCTTTTCCTCCTCTTGAGTCTCAATCTCCTCGGCCTTCTCCTCTCGAGACTCAACCTCCTCGGCCTTCTCATCTTGAGTCTCAATTTCCTCTGACTTCTCCTCTTGCGGCTCGCTCTCTTCGACCTTAGTTTCGCTGCAGCACAGACATCACAAAACCGTGAAAAACAATACTAGCGATGACGGAACAGCGAAATTTGGCAAAGATATAAACAGCCAACCGTCTGCGTCAAACAGCATCACCATACTTTGCAAAACGCCCGCGCGCATTTGAGGGCGGTCCACGTACCTGTTAGTCTGCTCAGCTTCATCCTCTCGCGGAGGACTGCTGGCCTCATCCTTCCCGTCATCTTCGGTAATCTCTGCAGAATTCGAGTCGCCTTCGGCGCTGGATTCGACCTCACTCTCCTTCTCAATGGTAGTAGACTTCTCGTCTGCCTCACTCGCCTCCTCCTCCTCCATCTGCTTCTCCTGCTTACTCTCCTGCTCTTGCGTCACGACGTCCGCCGTCGCATCGCGCTCAACGGTCAGCTCCAGATCCAGAGTCTCCTTCTCATCCGCGGATGCTTCGCTCTGTTTCTCTAGCGAAGAAGTTTTCTCAGCGTCGGGATCTGGAGAGTTATCCTCGGTCTGGCTACGAGATGACACACTTGCCGGCTTCATCCGCGGCAGCACTGGCTCGTCGTCAACCGTAGATTCCACCTGCTCTGTAGATTCGGAACCAAACGCACCCACCTTGCGACTCTGCACAGACAGATGCGAACTGCGTTTGTAAGATTCCCGCCCGACACAGGGAGTTCAGTCAAATACGGAGGTAATTTGCACCACACGAACCTGGGACGAGGTTTGCAAGTCGGCGGTGGGAGCGATGCTAGTCGAGAAGGACCCCACGGAAAACATATATGCCAAGAAAAGTGCCGCCAGCGTTATGGCTACGACGGCACCGGTCTGCACCGCACGGCGGCCGTAATTTACGGACTCTTGACGCCGCATCTTGGGCGAGAGGAGCGGTTGGCCCTGCATGTCTGCGGCCCTTGTTCAGCAGCGGTTGTACTAGTTTGGAAAGACCTACGTCAAAGCGAATCCCCTCTAGAGTGAACTCAAGTGAGGAGAGGATCCGTACTAACGACTACAGTGAGCTGCGGGTCCTAATGACCATCCATCGATTGCCTTCACTGGTTGCCTACTGAAGTATGGTGGTGAGCAAGCGCCTGTGCTGCATGAAGTGAATGTGGGTGGAGTTGCGCACACTTCAATGTGGGTCCGCCGAGGGAATTGCGCGGCGAAGGGGTAAAAAGGCCCGAGTGAGCCAAGTGAACCGACGCGGCAACGACAGGGATTTGGCTCACAGGGATCACATCACACACTCGGCCCAGCTGCCCGAGCAAAGAGGATGATCTCAGGACGCGTCACAAGTAAAATATCGAGGAAGGATCAGGGTTGTTCACCGAACCTGTCAAACCGATCGCCATATCGGTGTGTCACGACTGCTTTGAAGTTTCAAGTGACACGATCGTAAAAACATGGGGCAAAATTGCCCGTGGTGGACGAAATTGCACGATCGATGTGTGACAGGGGCACATCGATCGCCTGACTTAGAAGGGAAAACTGTACGTTAGCGAAAATAAACGAAAATGTGTAACCACCTAAACACCGATTCTAGGCAGGATCGATGTTCTACTTGTGACGCGTCCTCACCGCCCAGCCAAGTCTCTCTGTCCCCCTCCCTCGATCTCTGCGAAAAAACGCACGCCGCTGGCATCCAGTCACGGGAGTGCCACGCTTCGAGGCTGGCCCAATCAGCGACAAGCCGATGCGCTCCTTGTTCCTCTGAACGCTTGACGAATTCTTGAAAACAGTCGCGGGGAATGTCGATGATTCTCCTGACCATACCACGACATCCCCCAAGCCTACTCGGGTTTCATTGTGATGTAATGGCTTTCCCGTTGAACATTTCTATATATCGGCTAGTTTTTCATACTACGAGTACAGTAAGAATGTGTAAACAAAACAATTGGCAGGTAGCGGGCAGTCGATATACAAAAGAAGTTTGATTGTTTCAGCCTCGCCAAGGTCTTCTCGCCGTTGGGAGGAGCCTTCCCGCCAACAATTTCCAGGTTCGCGGTGCGGAGCGCAGTCAGGCGGGCTTTTCAACATGCTGCAGCGATTGGGTGGGTTTGTTTTCGTTTGGACAAAGCTGCGGTGTCGGCACATTTTGTTCCTGCTTCGCCAAGAGATAAGCTTGTACATGAACAGTGCACTGTGCCGTGCAGGGCCATTACACAATGCTTTTAAAGCTTCTAAAGAATTTTGTTTTACAATAAGATGCTCTTGAAATGGAATTTAATTCGTGAGCTCGGGCTGTAAAATTGTATAAAAAATTATGATATATGAAAAAAAAATATTATATGCTTCTGTAAGACGTGGAGTATAAGTTGGCATTTATTGGGTTTTAATACGTTCCAGATCGGTGAAACTACCCCACTGAGTTCTTGTGCACATGTTGGGGGAGTGTATCACCGCTGTTGTGCTATGACTTCGAGTATGCCGATTATCACCAAATATCTGAAACAGAAATAGCCCCATTCAGGAAACACCTGAAACAGCAGCGGTTCGGCTAATTCCCAATGAACCAGTACCAGCCCTCATGAATTTTTTTCGCGGCTTGCTTCGGGACGCCCTCGCAATCCAATCCAAGGCAAAGATTTGTGTATATGGGTTTGTCCGGGTCACCTTCAGGCGTTATCGCTACAAAAGCATTTTTTATTTTAGCCCGTAAAAGTATACAGCATCTTTCCTCCCATACCTCCCCATAACCACCTCAATTGCTTTCCCTATGTCTATAATTAGTTATCGGTCAAGTAGTGAAGAACGTGCGGGGTGGTTTATGTGTCGCTATTTGACTCAGCCCGGATTTCTGATCTCGGGCACATTACAGTAGCCGGGTAACTTCTAGGGACAGCCCTCGTCACCACCATCCCACGTCACGACTGACTCACACGACCCACCACCACCACCACTCACCAGCAGCCTGCCGAGATGCGGTGAATGTACAGTCATGTGATCAATCTACCATGACCGTTCACCTGAAGTCCTGAAGACCTCTTTTTCCTCCCGACCGAAGCATGTGTAGATACGACCATCGCATTCCAACGCATCCATTTCCATATTAAACCTCTACACCGATCTCTTTGCACCGAGAAACGGGATGTCGTGCCATGGTGTCACCTGCATCACACACCTGAAACTCTCACCTCACATTTGCTTCTCGCCCAAGCCGTTCCTGTGAATGCAACGAGGATGTGGAGGGGATTTCACACCACATGCCGTGGGGTGCAACTGGATGGATGTTCCTCCCAGCTTCGCCTGCCACACACCAACCTGCTTCCTCGTACGCCACACCTCTAGTTCCTGCTTGCAGCGCGCTTTGACCATACGCAGAAGCACACAAATTCTTCTCCCCTTGGTCGCTTTGCTTGTGCTGTCCTTGGAACGGCATCGCGGCGAGGCTCAGTGGGAATTCCAGAAATCGCGTTTCGGCTTTCCTTACCCTTGTTTCACCGACTCGATCGTTCGCGATCCGTCGCTCCAAATCGCGCAAAATATCATAGCGAGCCCGCTGAGGCGCACCGTAGCGGCATCGTTCATCACCCAATAGAGCTAGGTCCAACCGCTACAGCGTAGTCGTGTCGGAGGTTCTAAAGAGGAGACAAACTCTCACGATGTCTGCCTAGGTTTGACCAGGCGTGCTTGACGGTGGAGTGGAAGGGTCTCGCGCAAGTCGAAGAAAGGGAGGAGGAGGGTGGGCTGTTTTTGGAGGTTTGCGAGAATGAAGCGCCTACGGCGGCAATGGCGGGCAGATTTAGCACCTGTTGTAGTTCTGCTGTTGGCGGCGCTGCTGCTGGGAAAGTGCGCTTCGCATCTGGCGCAAGCAAGCAGTAGTAGTGACAGCAAGAGCAGTAGCAGCAGCAGTAAGAGTAGTAGCAGTAAGAGTAGCAGTAGTAGCGATGACAAAGAAGGAAAGTCACTCTCCGATGTGGTTGAAGAATCTAAGAGCGGCAAAAGCAGCAGCAGCAGCAGCAGCAGCAGCAGCAGCTCCAAAGACGAGTCTCCGAAGAGTACCTCGTCCTCTTCCTCTTCTTCCTCCTCCTCCTCCGCCACTTCCAAATCTTCTTCTCCCTCTAAAGCAGACTCAACGTCTTCCTCGTCCACCTCCTCATCGTCTTCTAAACCCGATTCGGAATCCTCGTCGTCGGACTCGTCAAAAGGCGATTCGAAAGACTCATCTGGATCGTCGAAAGAGTCGTCGTCAAAGGAATCGGACGACTCTAAAAGCAAATCCACGAAGGAGGGCACTTCCGATGATTCCTCGAGCAAATCTTCATCGTCCGATCAGTCCTCGTCATCTAAAGCCTCGTCGGAAGATGATTTGAAAAATGCCGAATCGTCGTCTAAATCTAGCTCCAATTCTTCCTCCTCCTCCTCTTCCTCCTCTTCCTCCTCTACCAACGGTACCAGCTCAGATGCTTCAGCCACGTCAGACGACACGTCGGCCAAGTCAGATAAGTCGAGCAAATCGGAGAGTGAGGAAGAGGATAAGGCAGAAGGTGCGGGTGAGTCTGAAGCAGATGCCAAGTCGAAAGAATCGAAAGAAAGTGGAAAAGATGAAGAAGCTGAGACAGACGAATCGGGCGACAAAGCGGAGGCGGATGGGGAGGAGGAAGATGACATTGCCCCCCCCTCTCTTGCTCCGCCATCCGCCGCGCCCGCTTCTTCCCCCGACTCCGCTCCCGCTTCCGCCCCTGCCTCTGCGCCCGGTTCCGCCGCCGCTCCCGCTTCCGTGTCTTCCCCTTCTCCGGACGAGGCGCAGCTCGCGCCATCCTCCGCTTCCGCTCCGTTCTCCGCCCCCGCCCCCAGCTCCCAACCCGCGCCCTTCTCCCCGCGCTCCAAGGGCCTACTGCTGCACGCTGCGCCGGGCGCGGACTTGGGACGGCCCGCGGGCATTCACCCGCTGCGCGGGCAGCCCGCCTGGGACGACGAGGAGGAAGTGGACGCGGGGGGCGCGGGGAGCGGCGCTGGCGGAAGCGGCGGCACGGTCGCCTCGAGCGCGATGGGGGAGGGCACCGGGGGTCTGGGCGGCGGCGGGGGCGGGAGCGGCGCGTTTCCGGTGCACGGGGAGCTGACGATCTCGTCCGCGGCGACGGCGGCGTCTTCGCGCGCGTTTCAGCGCGCGTGCCAGTCGCTGACGCCCGACGCGGCGTGGATCTGCTACAAGGGCGGAGACGTGCTGGCGCGGCCGAATCTCGCGCTGTACCTGGTGTGGTACGGCGACTGGGACAACGACCGCAATGGCGGCGACAGCGGGCGGAAATACATCCGCCATTTCATCAACAGCCTCGGCATGCCGGGACTGGTACGCGCGCGGGGAGAGCTGGGGGGGGGAGAAGAGTTGGGGGAAGGGGAGGCGGTTGGGAGGTGGGTTAGCGGGTGTTGGCTGGCGGGGTGTTTGGGCGGATTGGGCAAGTGCGGTTGGGTGGGGGAAAGTAGGCAAGAGGTGAGGCATGCGCGCATAGGTGTTGGTTTGGCGCTGCCATAACTCCCGCGCTTGCTCGCGCACATTTTCCGTTTTGCTCCCCCCTTTCCCGTTTCTCCGCCCGCTTGTTCAAACCCGACACCCCCCTCCGGTTCCCCCCTCCCGCGCTCCCAGTGCATTGCCCCCTCCACTCCATCCAATCAATATCCCCGTCCCAAATTCTCCGCCGCTCTGCTCTGCGCACCCCCCTTCCCCTCTCCCCCGGCCCCTCCCGCTCGCCACCCCCCTCCCCCCGCCCGCTTCCCCTCCCCTCTTTCCCCCCGCCAGGAGGGCCTGCCGTCCCCCAACAGCTGGTGGCAGATCGTGCGCCAGTACGCGGACCGCGCGGGCACGAAGCCCGGCGCGTACGTGACTATAAAGGGCGAGTACGAGAACACGCAGTACTCGCAGGGCCGGCACCTGGGCGCCGACACGTCGAGCGTGTTCAACATCGTCATCGACGCCATCAACGCCGGCGCGCTGCCCTTCGATCCCAACGGCGCTTACGTCGTGCTGACGTCGGATGACGTCACGCTGATGAGCGCGGACCAATCGCAGGTGGGAGGGGGTGGGTGGGACGAGGCGAGGAGGGGGAGGTAGGTGAAGACGGGAAAGGAAAGGTGAGGGGAGAGTCGGGGGAGAATGGGGAGAGGGAAAAACGTGAGACGGGAGGCAGGGGGGAGAGGAGGGGAGAGGGCTGAGAGTGGTGAGGGGGAACCTGGGAACACGTGAGAAGGCGTGCGGGTACTGGGCGTGCTGCCTTCTCTGCCATGCGGGTGTGTGCGTTATGTGCCGTGTGGATTCGTGGATTCGTGGCCTGCACCGCACGCACATACCACCACACCACCCCTGCATACACCATGCACCTCATGTTCCCTTCCTTCCTCCAACCCCCCTTCTTCTCCTCCTCCCCCTCTCTGTTCCCCTTCCACTCACCCTGACACCCGTACCTCGCCTCACTGCTTCCATCCATCCCCTCTCCCTCCCTGTCGCTCTTCCCCCTCCCCCCTCCCTCTCCCCCTCCCCCTTCCCCCTTCCCCTCCCCCCTTGCCCTGGATCCTCACTGCGCATTGCGCATGGGGCAACGCGGGCAGTCGTTCTGCGGGGTGAAGGGCAAAGGGTACTGCGGCTGGCACCACCAGTCGGGCGTCATGCTCGGCCCCAACGAAAGCTACCCCCTCACCTTCACCCACGTCGGTGCGTGCGCTTTCCGCTCCTATTCCGCCTCGTTCCACTCACCACTCGCTCTTCATTCCTGCCTATTGCTGCTCTACCCCTACTCTGCTGCACCTTCCCCCTCCGCTCGCCCCCAACCCTCCCGCCCACCCAGCATAACGCTGCTCTGCCTTTCCCTCTTCCGTACCCTCACTCACTTTCTCCCACTCCCTCTTCTCTATTCCTTCTCACCCCCTCCTCCACCCCCTCTCCCTCTCCTCCCCTCCCCCTGCCCCACCAGGCAACGCGGCGACGCAGTGTGCGGCTGGGTGCATAGGGGGCTTTGGCACGTACAAGCTACCCAACAGCGGGTACTGGGGCGTGGACGGCATCGTCTCCATCCTCGCCCACGAGCTCGCCGAGCTCGTCACCAACCCTGGTGGGTGCCGTGCCCGCACCGTGACACACTCACACACTCCTCTCCCGCGACACTCTCGCTCACCCACAGTTTGGTTGTTTCACAGACGACCAGTGGCACGCCCAAGGGCTAGTCAAGGGCAGGGTGCCGGTGCGGGTGCGGGTGAGGGCGAGGGTGCGGGTGAGGGTGCGGGTGCGGGTGAGGGTGAGGGTGAGCGACATGGGCAAGGTCAAGCGGGTACAGTGTTTGCCACGGATAACGAGAGGGACGCAGTCAGTGGCACAATCAAGGGCTTGGAGCCTTGGGCTAGGCAAGCCCAGGGCCACAGTCAAGGGCAGGTTGAAGGGCTTGTGGTGGCGACTAGAGTGGTGGACGCTGCTGCATGCATCACACCTCTGCTCTTTCTCCCTGCTCAACGCATGCTGCCTCTTTATGCCCTTGCAATGTGCCTCCCCGGTCCTATGAACCCTCCCGACCCGCTGCCCCACTCCATTCCTCACCCACTCCCTATCCACCCCCCAACCCCTCCTCCACACCTTTCCCGTTCCATTCCCCATCCCTTCCCACTCCCCGCATCCCCCACACGACACTGCTCGCGCGTGCGGGGCAGACGGCAAGTCAGGGTGGACGGGCAACAACGGGGAGATAGGCGACATGTGCTCCTTTGACTTTGGCGCTGTCACGGTGGGTGTGGACGCGGGCGGGCAGTCGTTCGGCTACAACATGGCCTCTGCTGACGGCTCTGTCTTCCTCATCCAACGCCTCTGGAACGCCTTCGCCCCCATCGGCCACGGTCAGTCCCTGCCCTGTGCCCTGACCGTTCCTTCTTTCCCTCTCTCCCCTCTCCTCCTCTCCTCTCCCCTTTTCCCCATCCACGACCACCATCCCTCCACGAGTCGCTCCCTGCTTCCCTGCCCCAGCTCATCCATTCTCAACTCCTTCCACCCCCCTTCCAACGCCTCTCTCACTGAACCACTGCAGGTAGCTGTGCGGTTGAGTTGCCCAAGGCCCTCACCAACATGCCCTCCTCCTCCTCCACCTCTGCCCAGAGCGTCCAGTCCTCCTCCTCATCCCCCGCCACCACCACACCCGCAGCCACTTCCACCCTTCCACCAACTCCTCTCTCCACGCTCGAAGCACCCAAGCAGTGCAAGGCAGTGCAGGCTCAAGCAGCAGCATTCACAGGGAGCATCGGTGGAGGCAACTGCTGCAGCGGGTACTCAGACGCGTTTGTGCGCGTGCCGTGGGACCTCAGCTGCAGCAGCTTCTGTGTGTGCGTGGGGGGAGTGGCTAGCTTCCAAGTGTCCTGCCCTCCCGGCACCATCTTTGACTCCACACGCTCCCTCTGCTCCGCTCCTTCCCCCTCCAACACCTGCCCATAAGCATGCGCCGTGCAAAGGCACGCGCGCACTCACACAGAAGGATGCACTCACCCACACTCAACCAATCTTGCATTCCATGTGCCGCCTTGCCTCTACACATGGTGGTTGTGTGCCCCACAGCCTGTGGCTCCAATTTGTACTCCTTATTCCAGTGCTCTCTCTCTTGCTGCAGCCTGTGCCCCTCTCTTCCATGCTTGCTGCTGGCCTTCCACAGGACATGCCTTTTACCTTGTGCTACCCTCTCTGCACTATAGCTGGCAACGCGAGCATGGCCTTGCCTGATGAGCATTTCATCCTGCTGTGGCTGGGGTATATTGCGTGCGGCACATGCTTTCAACAGCCACCAGTTCCTCGTATGTGGTCATGCTTTTGCTTTGTTGTACCTTTTATTTGTTGTAACACCAAGAGTTCATATATTTTTGCAAGATCTACTACGAGGATACACCAGGGCTATTTTACAAACCAAAAACCAGGTACACTATTTAACCACATAACCAAGAACTAGAGTGCGGAGACCTAGCGTCTTCTATTCCATGCTCGGTGCTGCAGGGTATAGCCGATTAGGGAGGGTCTGGTAATCCTCCCTCATTACCTTGGTCAGTGTCGCAGCCTCGACATTCGTTTCGTGTCTCTTCTCAACGCCGAGTCGCCATACCTCCCGCTCATGCAGCTCTCCTCTCGCGCCTTGCGCCCACTTCCCTCCTCGCTCACCCACCACCGCGCAGAGCTCGCCTCCCCCGTGACCCCTCGTTGCTCCGCCATGGGCTGATGCCCGTTCTGCGCGCGCTGCGACGGTGCCACCTGCGCCAGGGGCTTCAACTCCCGTTTCACATTCCGCGCCGCTAACATTGCTTGCTCCTCTTCGTTCCGCGCGCTCACCGCATAGACGCTTTCGCGCGGAACCAGCTCCGCCTGCGCCGAATCCTCCGTGGCTTGCGCCTCTGCTGGCGGCGCGCCCTCGCTGCCCGTCGCCGGAGCATTTTCCTGCTGCTCGCTTCCGAAAGTGTCGCGTCCCTCATACCCCGCCGTGCTCGACGGCGCATCCGAAACACGATTCCCGACCTCCCAGCCTGGAAGCGCCTCGGCGTCTCTGCTGTTTCGCGGGCTGACACAGCCGTCTTCCTTGATAGCGAATCCCACTATCCGTTTGAAGGACGTCCTACGGCTCACGGCCATGTCGGGTTTGTCCGACGAGTCGTTAACCGCGCGGGAATCGCGGCCGTTGCTACTCGTGCATTCGCTCGTCAGTCCGCAGCCCCACCCCGCGGCACTGTCCCGCGCGGGGGACGAGAATTCACCACCCGCGGAGTCGGCGGAAGCCATTATCGCGGAAGCGGGGGCGGAAGTAGTAATGGAATTTCCCCGGGCGAGAACTGGGGGGAGCAGTGTACCCGCGTCGAAAGAAAGGAGAGGGGTGGGGAGGAGGGGCGTGGTTGACTCGGGAAGATTTATTCCGCGCGTGGCGCTATATAGACGGCCCCGCTGCTCGATATCGCCCAAGGAGATGCATGGTGACGTGGATGCGTGCGTCACCGCGTACGACGATGACGTGGAGCAGCACGACGGGCTCGCACCGGGTCTGGATTCGCCGTTGCTCCACGCGCACTCGCCGCTGCTGCCGCCGCAGTCGGCGTTGCAGTCGTCGCACCGGCACTGGCGCTGCGAAGACGAGCATGATGAGCAGGAGCACGGGGAGTCGGTTGCAAGATCGTCGCCGTGCAACATGCACGGGGAAGAGAAGGACTCGGCGTGCTGACACATGGTGGCGTGCTGATGCATAGAGGCGAGTCGATTAAACGCACACTGCCACTAAGAAGCCTTTGCCCGTGAAACTAGAAGCAGCAATTCACTAGGGACTGGGGAGTCTGGAGTAGCAAAGGACGCCGATAGATGAATCAGGGTTCCAACTAGGGATAGATCTTTTGTGAAACCATCTCATGAACGTGATCCTAGGAACAGGTGGAGGCGAGCGGGGAGGGTAAAGAAAGGATTCGTGGAGGTGAATATTTTGGCTTTGTTGGCAATTGCCCACCAAACCAAACCGACACAAGGCAGCGCGCCTCGGCCATGCTTACACATGTTGCTTACGGCTTCTTTGTTGGCAGCGCAGCAAAGCGCGCCGTGAAAGGAGGCGTCGCCTGCGATGATGAGGCACCGCATTCGAGCCAGCGAGGAAGGCGAAAACACGTTGTTGTTGACAGGCTTCTCGGCCTTCACTCGCCAAGCAGTTCGCCATCGGGGTTTTGGGGAGAGCAACACCGTCGCGCCATTCGTCCAGGGATGCGAAAACGAATCGTAACCATGCTGCGAACGCATCGTTACCGGATCGCAGCGGGTACATAGTCAGATGCGCTGGTCTTGTCTCTTCCGCATCTCGCGGGAGTTGAGGATATCTTACAGCACAACGTCCAATGGTTGGGCTCTGGGATCGGGGTGGTGCATCGTACCACGTGGAGAGTCCTGACAACCAACTTCCCCCCCACAGCCCAGCCCAGCCGGGCTCCTGAACATTCCGAGTCAGCGAAAGGGTGTCCACATGGCGGTGGGTGAAACCAGCTGTTCCCACAGGTGCGGACAAGTACCTGTACCGATCTGATATATTTTCTGCCCTTTAGTAGCAGCTTACGGAATGCTTGAATGCCCAGTCAATTTCCATCAATTAGTAAAGTATTACATACATCATTATGCTCTACTGGATCTTAGTGATGTTCGCACAAGGTCATGGGTACAGTCATAAATTTGATAAAACAGTCGACGAAGAACTGGTTTCAATACATAGATGCTCTATATATTTCATGATGTTCTCATCTCCTACTCTAATGCCTTACTTATTTAGTAATACAGTGGTGAAGCAGCTATCACTTATTATGGCACAGCCGTGCAAGTCACTGCTTGCGGTACCACTGAAGACAAGGTGTCTCCTGGAAGCTGCCAGTGTGCCATGCCACAACTCATGTGGTTATGGTTCATTATTACTCCCACGTCAGAGGCGAGGATAAAAGAAAGGCAGGCTGAAAGCAAGTGCTTGTGTGTCGGTGTGGGTGGACGCGAGAGGAGGGAAGGGAGGAGGCGAGAGGCGAGAAAAGGAAAGCGGATGCTAGATGGCAGCGAGGCTATGGCTTGTGGGTGCGGTCTTCGGAGGTGCGCTTGAAAACGGTGGGCAGGTGGTGTGCGGAGTGAGGCGTGCCGGCATCGAGAGGCAGTGACTGCACGCGTGAGAGCACCTCCACTGCATGCAGCATGGTGGGCCGCATGTCGGGGTCCGAATGGATGCACTGCGATGCCAGCACTGCCACCTGCCATGGGGGGGAAGAGAGGGAGTGCGAGAGGAGGGTGAGAAAGGGGAGAGCGAGAGCGGGAGGAGGGGGCTGAGAGTGGAATGATGTTCGCACGGGTTTCAGGAAATGGGGGAGAAGAGGTGGACTGGAAGGATGGAGCTGACAATGTCAAGACGGAGTTATGAGAGCGAGGGTGGGCAGAGAGGAAGTACAAGTGTTGCGGGACAAGGGCTAGGTTGGGGAATGAGAAGGTTGAGTGCGGTGAAGTGCGTGCATGGGTGGGTACCTGGTAGAGTGCAGGGGTGGAGATGGCGCGTGCAATGAGCGGGTCCACCATTCGTTCCACCAGTGACCGCTGTGTCAACCGCGCCTTGGCCTGCTCCCCCATGCACACGCACACAAACACACACGTGCATGAACACAGACAGAACGAGAGATGAGACGGAGGTGCGTTGTCAAGAGACAAGGCGCACGCTCGAATCAGACGCTCCCAGGTGTCTGGGAAGTTAATCACACGAGCTTTGCTCACCCAGTGCACGAGGCTCTGCTCGTTGGGTGGGCGCGTGGCATCGAGGGGGCGTCGGCCCGAGATCACTTCCAGCAGCAGCACACCGAACGCGTACACGTCCACACGTGGTGTTGCCTCCGTTAACCATGCCAGCTCCGGTGCTGCTGTGCCCGCTGCCACCGCCTGTTGGAGGATGGAAAGACGGCAGGGGTTAGCCAGGTGCAGGACGGGAGTTGTGGTGAGGAGCTGATGAGGTGACAGGGTAACTAGTGTCCTACTCGTCCCTCTTGCCCCTCTCACCCCTCTCTCCCCTCTCACCCCTCTCACCCCTCTCACTCCTCTCACTCCTCCCTTCCCTCACCATCCTCTCACTGTCTTCTCAACCAACTCTCACCCCATGTCTCGCCCTCGCCCCGCTCACCCCTCTCAAACCCATCACCCCGTCTCACCCGTCTGCACCCCTCTCGACCCACTGGCGCCTCACCATGTTGACAGATGCCGAATGCGCGGAGGCAGCAGCGCCCCGGTTGGCGCTGCCAGCACCAGCAGTGGCGGCGGGGGAGCGGGGGTGGGAGAGGAGCAGCGGCAGGCAGTAGTCAGCGAGCTTGGCACGCATGGCCCCGTCCAGCGCCACACTCCCTGTCGTCAGTGCTGCGTGGGTCATCTGAACAGCACGTGGGGGCGGGGGGAGGGATGGGGGAGAGAAAATGGAGACCATGCTGTTGAGTGGGGGAGCTCTTGGGATGGTGGGGAGCGCGTTGGAGGGCGGAAAGGAAGGTGTGAAGCTCGTGCGTGGGTGCAGCGGCGTGCATCAAGAGAGGTAGCATGTGGTTGAGAGTGTGTGGCGTGCAGAGGTAGGCGGGGGTTTGCAGGGGTACGCAGAGGCATGCAGGGCGTACCTGGGGCGTCATGGCGTGCAGGTAGGCTAGCCCCTTGGCGACGTCAAGGCAGATGGCCATGCGCGTGGACCATGGCAGGGGCGACATGCTCGCCTCCAGGTCTGCCGTAGGGGCAAGATGGTGATGGTGATGGTGATGGTGATGGTGACACATAGGCACGCAGAGCCAGAAAAGTCAGGAAAGCGAATCGAGAGATAGACAGGTGAGGGACAGCAGGCACAGTCCAGCGGCAGGGCTGGGCCGGTGGGAGACAGTGGTAGAGAAGCATACGGAAAGGGCAGCGAAGGGTTGTATGAGAGGGGAGAGATGGGAGTGGGGAGAGAGGAGAGGGGATGCGGCGGTGTGTAAGTGTGCAACCCACCATGCAGGTGCATGTCGAGTGTGCCATTGGGTGCCATCTCATACACCAGCACCTTGGCACCCCTGCCTGCTCCACTCCCACTCCCACCATTCACACCTCCAACAACCCCACCAGCAGCACCACCAGCGGCAGCAGCAGCAGCAGCAGCAGGGGCGGGCAGGGGGGTGCAGCAGCAGCCGAGCACCTCGACGAGGTGCGGGCAGCGCACGAATGCAAACACCTCCACGGCCGCTGCAAACGCTGCTGCTGTCTCGCCGTCCGACCCCTCCACCTCCTTGATCACTATTGCCGTGCCCTCACTGCCCTCCCCTTGTGTGGCCGCTGCTGTGGAAGGTGCGGCGGCGGAGGAAGCGGAGGAGGAGGCAGAGGCGGAGGCGGAGAGGAGCGATGGGGGGAGGTGGCCGGTGAAGGAGCGGCAGGTGCCATGCGTGGCGAGGAGTGAGTCCGCGTGGAAGGCGTTAGTGGCCCGTGAGAGCTCGTCCAGGGTGAACTGCCGCATTGTGAGATGCGTAGCTGGTGGGGGGGAGGAGGGAGGTCAAGGGAGGGGGGAAGAGGGTCGGATCGGAGAGGGGAACAGGGAGAGGAAATGGATAAGTGGAAGGCGTGGGTGGCCCGTGAGAGCTCGTCCAGGGTGAACTGGCGCATTGTCAGGTGCGTGGCTGGTGAGGATAGGGGATGGGAGGGAGGGCAAGGGAGGGGAGGGGGGAAGAGGGTTGGAGAGGGGGACAGGGAGTGGACAGGGATGAGTGGAAGGCGTTGGTGGCTCGTGATAGCTCGTCCAGGGTGAACTGGCGCATGGCGTGGCTGGTGGGGGGAGGGGAGCGTGGGGGGAAGAGTGGACCAGAGGGCAGGGAGGGGAGGGGGGAGAGGAGAGGAGAGGAGAGGAGAGGAGACAGGAGGGGGGACGTGAGGCGGAAGAGCGTTGGTGAAGGAGAGTGAGAGTTGAGGGGGTGGTGAGTCATGCTAGGTTCCGACCGGAAGCAGGTGGCACACTGTGCACGACCCATCGCTTGGCACTGCCACACGTTGCCTAGCCAAAGCTGAGTGGAACCACTTACTCACAGCCTTCTCTGCCCCACATTGTGTGCCCGCCCAGTTCACCTGTGGGTCCGGCTAGCCGCCTCGCAATGGCAGCAGCGGTCGCCAGTGCACTGCTCCCCACGCCCCCCGCACGGTCCCCACTCCCCCCATCCGCGCTGTCCCCACTCCCCCCATCCGCGCTGTCCCCACTGCCGCCTGTCGCCGCTGCTCGGCACTTTTTTGCCGCTGCAGCCGCCGCTGCCGCTTTGAATGAGGACGACTTGCCAGTCGTGCTGGTGCTGGTGGTGCTGGTGGCAGTGCGGGTGGGCTTGAGCGAGGAGAAGAAGGAGATGGAGGCGAGGGAAGAGGGCAGCGAGGACGGCAGCGCGGAGAGCACCACTGTGTACCCCTCCAGGTCGTCAGGGTCGTAGAACTGACCCCTGGTGGGGGAGGGGAAAGAAGGGGGGGAGCGGGGAGGGAGAGGAGAGTGAGTACGGAGGAAGGAGAGGAGAGGGATAAGCGAGAGGAGGAAGAGAACGTTTGGGTTGACTCAGAGATAGGCAGAGCGTGAAGATATGATAAAAGAGGAGAGGGGATGAGGTGACGACAGCAGGAGCGGATGAGAGGAACACAGGGTGCTTCTCTGACTGCTCCATGCCAGCTGCTCATGTTATGTCTTTGTACCCCCATGCCCCATCCTCGTCTCCCGACTCGCCCTCCTCTTCCCCCCATCTCACTTGGTAGTGCGGCCAGCATACTGCCACGCGCCCGGTCGTGTACGGCGCAGCCCGCCCCTGATCGCCAACACAGCAGCCACCACCAGCGCCGCCACCAGCGCCAGCACCAGCACCACCGCCGCTGCCACCGCCGCTGCTGATGTTGGTGCTGGGTAGCTCGTGGTACCCTGCAGGGAGTCTGATTGGGGGACGGAGGGTTGTGAGGGGGTGGGGACAGAGGAGAGGGGGATTGGGGGGCAGGGGAGTGTAGTGCAGGGGGTGTGGAAGTGGAAAGAGGGAGGGCGGGAGGATTAGTCAGGTAGTGGGACGGAAGGAGAGTGAGGGGCGCTCTGTTGCAAGACCAGGGGGTATTGACGGTGGGAAGAGGTGGGAGAACCACACTCACGTTACAGCTCCCAATCTCTCACCCACCCTCCACCTCTCGCTTCCCTTGCCCACACCGCGCATCTCACCCGTGGGGCACATGCAAGCAGTGAAGCCCGTGCCGTCCAGGCATGCGCGCTGCCCCTGCGCGCCGTTGTCACACGTGCATAGCTCCACCTGCCCATGCGCGCACGCACGGCGCTGCTCAATGCGCGGAGGGGCGCCGTGCCGCTGCTGCACCGCGCTGCACCGCCCCCTGCCGTTCAGATCCACGCATAGCTCAGGGTTTCCCTCAAAGCTGGGGGGTGTGGGGGTTGGGGAGGGGACGGGCACAGAGGGGATGGGAGGGGCGGGGAAGGGCGAAAGGTGGTACGAGGCGGGGTTAGGGTGTGGTTTGAAGAGTAAGGTAGCGGTTGGAGTGGGTGGGTGGGTGGGTGGGTGAGCATGGGAGCATGAGCACGTGCGCATGTGCAGACCTGGCGAGCAACATGTGCATGGCAGGCGAGCAGACCTGGCGAGCGGCAGGTGGTGGAAGGAGGCGTTGACGCGGCCGTGCAGGGCATTGTCCGCCACGCTCAGCTGCTGTAGCGGCAGTGATGCGAGACCCATTGGCACCTCGCCACTCAGGTTGTTGCTCTGTAGCAGCCTGCACGGACGGTGAGGTAGGGAGGGGTAGGTGGAGAGGAGAGAAGGAGGGGAGAGGAGGAAGGGATTTGGTGAGGTGGGGCAATCGAGGTGCTGCTGGACGTAGGGGGGAGTATGGGAGAGTAGGGGGGGCGGAGAGAGGAGGGGAGGAAGGCATGGGGTGACAGCGCGAGAGGAGAGAGGAGAGAGAAGAGAGAGAGGAGAGAGAGAACAGAAAAAACAGAGAAAAGGAGCTGTGGCAACAGGAGAACGACAGCAACAGACAAGGTCCAGCGGCAAGAGAGGAACACGCTCTTGAGAATCGTCAGTCATGACTTGGTGTAGTGAGGTGTGGTGTGGTGTGGTGTGGTGTGGTGTGGGCGTACAGCGTCTGGAGGCGGGTGCAGTGAGCAAGGGACAGAGGGATGGTGCCACTGATGTTGTTGCTGCTCAAATCCCTGCACGCACACACCGGGGCACAGGGCAGGGAGCAATGGAAGCTGGTGAGGCAAGGTGGGAAGTGGTGCGGAGGTGTGATGCAGGATTGTGGGCGAGAAGGCCGAGTGCAGATCAGAAGCTGCTGCGAGCATGCACGGCAGCGCATGAGCGGCACAGCATGTGACAGCAAGCGCGTGAGGGTGCGGCTCACACAGCTTCGAGGTCCTGCAGCTCGGTTGCACCATTCCACGGCACAGCATGCACTCACAGCGTTTCAAGGTCCTGCAGCTGCCCCCACTGAAACGGCACCTTGCCCTCAAACCGGTTGTTTGCCAGCACACTGCACACACGTTCCACGCATGCACGGAGGGGGGAGGGGGAACCGGGCCACAATGAGCACATTGAGCGTGGCCTGGGTGGTGCAGCTGACAGCGTCAGACATGGACTCATGGCGTCACGGAATGACACACAGGGAGCGCGTTTGGGCATGGCAGTTGCAACACGGAATGGCATGGTGACAGAGAAGGAGAGGACGGGAAGGGATAATAGTCCCGAGGGAATGATACGAGTAAGGCATTGTCGCAACTAGGAATGACAGGAGCAGGAGCAGGGGCAGGGGCAGGGGCAGGGGCAGGGGCAGGGGCAGGGGCAGGGGCAGGGGCAGGGGCAGGGGCAGGGGCAGGGGCAGGGGCAGGGGCAGGGGCAGGGGCAGGGGCAGGGGCAGGGGCAGGGGCAGGGGCAGGGGCAGGGGCAGGGGCAGGGGCAGGGGCAGGGGCAGGGGCAGGGGCAGGGGCAGGGGCAGGGGCAGGGGCAGGGGCAGGGGCAGGGGCAGGGGCAGGGGCAGGGGCAGGGGTAGGGGTAGGGGTAGGGGTAGGGGCAGGGAGAGGGCGCTGACAGGGTGATCATGTTCTTGGAGATGGGCCATGGCAGTCGCCCGTGGAAGCGGTTGCTCGCCAGGTTGCTGATGGGCACACGTGGCACACACACGCACACGTGGCACACACACACACACACACACGTGGCACACACACACACACGTGGCACACACACACACACACGTGGCACACACACACACACACACGTGGCACACACACACGCGTGGCACACACACACACGCGTGGCACACACACACACGTGTCACACACACGCGTGGCACACACACGCGTGGCACACACACACGTGGTACACGGCACACGCCCACATGGACACAGAGCAGCATGAGAAGGCAATGACGGTTGTTGGTCACTTGCTTGAGAGAGCGAGCGCGTGTGCTGCTTATGTGCTTACCCGTGCAGGTATGCGATTGTGAGGACACCTGTATGTGCAAACCCGTGCACCCGTGCATGAGTGCCCGTGCATGTGTGAGTGAGCGAGCGTACAGGAAGGTGAGGCGGCGGTTGACGGAGAGAGCGCGGGGGAAGGTGCCCCCCAGCGAGTTGTTGCTGAGGTCCACGTGCAGCAGGCGCTTCAGCAGCGCCACGCCCTCCGCCACCCGCCCCGTTAGCCTGTTGCCGCCCAGATCGCTGCTCGCTCCAACCGTATGGGGGGATTTGGGAGAAATGGGAGGGAGAGAGTGAGGGGGTGAGTGAGAGAGGGCGAGTGGAGGGTGGAAGAAAGTAGGTGAGGTGCGAGGGAGTGGGAAGGGCAGGTGGGTGAAGCGGGGTGGCAGGAAAGGAAGTCAGGGAGGGGAGGGGCGGGGATTTGGGAGGAGTGAGTGAGAGGTGGAGCTGGAGTAATGTGGTGGTGGGGGTGTAAGAGGCGGTGTGGGGGTTGCGGAAGGGCTGGTTAAGGGGCTGACATCATTTCGAGCTTGCGGAGCGAGTTGAGGGACTCGGGGAGATAGCCCTCGAACGAGTTGTTGGCTAGCTTGCTGCTCACAGGCAGGTGAGATGCCACACGCACACACAGAGGCACGCACACACCGGCACATACGCACACAGACACGCACAGGCAAGCACACAGGAGTGGAGAGGGACACACAGGCAGAGAGAAAGATAGAGAGAGCTGAATGGTGGGTGGATACAGAATGGTGTGTGTGGGGTACAGAATGGTGTGTGTGGGGTACAGAATGCAACAATGCGTGTGAGGCTCAAAGGAACGAGCAGCATGCGGGACACTACTCTCGAGATTTCTCATGAGATGCGTGTGGCCCAAGGTGGGGACCAGGAGCAGGGAGCGGGGAGCAGGGAGCGGGGAGCGGGGAGCACGCACAGGGCCATGAGGTTGGTGAGCGAGAGCAGCGAGGGGATGCTGCCCGCTAGCTCGTTGCCCGACAGGTCCCTGCCAGGCGCCGCCACCACCCACGCACACACAGCGCCAACAGCACACACAGACAGGAGAGGGGTCAAGGCAAAGAACCATGCCGCAGATACCTGCACCCACTGCCCTCCGTTGTTGAGGCGCCTCAGGAAAAGAAGGTAATTCTGACTGTGCAAAGTGGCGACTAAGTCGCATAGATTTCTTCCACCTGCTCCCGGACAGTCTTCCCCTCTCCCTATTCCCCTCTAACCTCCACCCTCTCATCTCTCCATCCCCACACCCCCTCCCAACCCTTCTTCCCCTCCCGCGTCCCCTCCCCCGGTCCCATGCGCGCTTACAGGCGGCGCAGCGCCGTCATCTGATCCACTTCCGCGGGCACCTCCCCCGTGAACGCGTTGCGCCACAAGATGCTGCGCGCACGCGGGGGGCGAGGGAAGGGGGATGAGGTTGGCAGTGCGAGCTCCAGCCATAGGTAGGCACGCGTATTACTCTATCTGTGTACGGCTACTGCAAGCGGTAACGAATGTGGCATGGCAGAGCAGCGTGGGGAATGGCATGGTAGGGCAAGCCAGGGGCAGGACAGGGATGGGTGCGCACATTGAAGTGAGAGCAGTCAGTTGGCCGAGCTGCGAAGGCAGGTTACCACCGATGGCTGTTTCGCTCAGCTCACTGAAGACAGGGAAACGGGAACAGAAGCAGGACGATTGGTACCGGGAGGCGGTGAGGTGGGGAAGGACGCGGAAGCGGAAGAGAAGGAGGAGGACGAAGGGTAGTACCGCTGCATAGCGCAAGTACAGGAAAGATTGGTGGTGCAGTTAAGGTGCAGAACGAGGTAATGTATAGTAACGTTGCGGCATGGCGGTGTGGTGGCGTGGCATCGTGGCGGAATGGTGGCATGGCGGAAGGAGTGGCGCGACTCACAGTTCCTCCAGCCCGCGCAAAGCGCCTATGGACGCGGAGAGCTCCCCGCCCAGATGCTGCGCGCGGATGACGCTGCGGAGGGCGCAACAGGGGTTGGGGGATGGACGACACGTGGACGGTTGGATGGCAGGCAAGAAATGTATTACTGGACCAATGTGGGCGACAGTGAAGGGGCAGAGGGGGAGAGAAAAGGGAGGAGATAAAGAAGAGAAGAGAGGCGAGGAGAGGAGAGGAGAGGAGAGGAGAGGAGAGGAGAGGAGAGGAGAGGAGAGGAGAGGAGAGGAGAGGAGAGGAGAGGAGAGGAGAGGAGAGCGGTTCGAGTGTTGTGTAGAAAAAGGTGAATTCTTTCCTCATCATGCATCTTAGCTTGCTTATTCCTTCAGCAGTGGCACGCTCACTCGCAGCTCGTGATACCCGCCGTCGCTCTACCAGAGGTGGCACTAGTGGGCGGTGGTACCTCCTGCTGCTCACGTGCAAGCATCACGCTTGCAGCATCGCATTGAAACCCGTGGGCCAAGAGCTTCAACCTTAGGAAGCTTGGTTGGAGCGAGCAACACAATTGGCTAGGATTTTGGTTGAGAGGGCCAAACTCAACCAAGGTTAAGAAGGTTGAGGCAATTAGGGCCTTCTTGGCACTGCCCCTCCGCCGTGTTGATCTATCTGCCATCGCCCCCACACTTACATCTTGCGCACGTATGCCTCGCGCTTCCCTCCGCTGCCCCTCTCCCCGCAAGTCACCCCCACCCACTTCCCCCCGCACACGTCGTCTCCGCTCCAGCTGCTCAGCGCGGAGGGATTTCCCCAAGCCGTCTTGAGGTCTAGAAGCGAGCGGACTGCGAGGAAGAAGGGGAAAAGCGGAGGTTAGGGGCGAGAAGGGGAGCGACCGGGGGGGGGGGGGGGGAGACTGCAGGTAGGCTGGTTGACGACAAATGAAGTGAGAGCGAGTTGACGAAGATGCAGTGCGAATGAATCCCGCTTCCAATGGGGGAGATGAGAGAGAAGTGAGAGGTAGGTTTGAGAGAATCTACGCAAGTTTCGTCTGATGATTGGGCTTTTGTTCGGTTCGGAGAGCGGGGAGAACGCACCATCGTCCGGTGAAGTTTGTGTTTGAAGAGCATCGGTAGAGAGTAGACCGATGCCGAGCAGCGAGAGGAGAAAGACGCAGCTGGCTCGATGACGCGCTGGTTGCGTTTGATATCTACTTGTACTGCTGTGACGCCATGAACGGCCCATAATGCTGGATGCGCGATCAGTGCAAAGGGCAAGCGAGCCAACTCTTAGAATAAGAAGCTCAACACGTACTCGAACCTCGATCTGCGTTTTGTGTTATTGCTCTGCTCTGCATGCATGTAAAAGCGCTAGCATCAGTTCCCACAGCTCTGCCAAAATAAACCGTGCTTCTTTGTTGCACGAGAAGAAATACCGCTATGGATGCTTGGTCTGGTGTGCACGAACTTGGTTTAGGCTAGGTTATGTTTGGTTGAGTCGGGTTCGGTTGGGCTGCTCCTGTCTCACGAATAAGCGACCGAGCGCCCCCAAACCAGGTCTGTGATGCGTGTGGGAGGGAGGGACACGTGTAGCGGATCGCGATGTCAGGCGCGCTGCGCAGGTGGAAACAGAAAGGCTTGTTTTCGCAAACTAGATTGAGCACCGTTACTGATGTTCTAATGGTTGACGAAGGTATTCTGTCTGTCGATTAGGTTTCGCCAGAGCAGGCGAAGTACGAATTTGCTGGCCTGAAACGGAGTTTCGGCTTCGACAACCTGGGGAGTGAGGCACCTGCAACTGGCTGCATGAGGTTGGGAGACACCGAGCCCTGGGGAGGTCCAGACGAAACCTCCTTGCCCGTGAGCAAAATTGATACATTACAGAACTGGCAAACTTGCTACATCATGCAAGAGCTAAAGTAGCATTTTAGCACAAGCATCAGACAAATAGTTGATCCGACTAAACAAGTTTTGACTTACCTTCAAAACCGTATTGTCTAGCGTGTTCAAACATGGTCACTAACAAACTAAATAAAATTTTACATCAAAATCATCAAATCATCGTAGTTACTGCATCGTAACGTGATATGTTTACCCTTCTACGTTTTTTGCAATAATCTGCTGTTTTTTGCTATTGCTATTTAAAAGAATGTGTACGGAATGTTCTGTAAGCTTATGTATAATAGATTGTTGCTGGTCATTTGATTTCTAGCGAGGATGTCGGCAGAACCTGGGCCTTCGCTTACCTTCACCTTTTTCTCCACGGCCCTGGATTGTTCCGCTTCTCGAATCTCGATCTTCACACGCCTTCCAGGAACCCAACCTTCACTCTTGGTTGCGTGTTGCTTTGCTGCTGCTCAGTCCACTAGCGTCATATAATCGGTCGGTGTCGTCTCGAGCAGGGTTAAAACTTGATTGTAGTAGTCGTTGCGAGCAGATTGTAATTGCCAATCGATCTATCCTGCGATTGAGATTGAATCTACCCGTGCACGAGTGCGGCAGCCTGCTCGAATTCCGCTTTCCTACTTTCGATCTACGAATTCGCCTTTGCATCTCTGAACTCACATCATGACGCAAGGAGAGAGCTCAGATGCGGGGTGAGTCTTTATTCTTATAGATCTAGGCTGGAAACTCTCGTCCGTCTTTTAGAGCTCGGTGGAGCGACTGTGGGCTTACAGATTTGAGCCGGCCTTACGGATTTGAGCCATTCTTCCGGTGTCCGGGAATTCAGATGGATTCCGGGTCCAGTTGCTGACGTCGTAATCTCCACTTCTTTTGACTTTCCCTTCTGACTCGCTCCTATCAAAATTCTCGCTGACTTTTCTCCCTCGCTCTTGGATGGCTCGCCCTCATGCCTCTCCCCGTGCGTGGTCGCAGCGCCAAGGGCACGAAACGCGATTTCTCGACGGCGATATTGGATCGGAAGAAGGCGTTGAACCGGCTGATAGTGGACGAGGCGGTGAACGATGACAACTCCGTGGTGGCGCTCAACATGAAGACCATGGAGGAGCTCCAGCTCTTCCGCGGCGATACCGTGCTGCTCAAGGTACGCCCGTGCCGTGTGCCGTGTCAAAGCAATAAAGGCTACCTCCTGCCGATCAGGACATAACGGGATGCAGACTGTTGTCATGGTGTGACGGGTATAGCGGCAACGCCCTTTGGCAATCATGTGTTTTCCTCCACACTCGACTCTCCTGCTGGCTGTCGAGCCTGTTATCCTGCCTTCTGCCGCGAACATAAGCCGTGCGATTTACTTTCCTAACCTCTCCCAACGCCCTTCTCGTCATCTATCTCACCTTTCTCCATCCCTTTCTCCTCTCTCCCCTCTCCCCCCTTCCTTCCCGTGACGGCGCGCAGGGCAAGAAGCGCAAGGACACGGTGTGCATCGTGCTGGCGGACGACACGGTGGAGGAGACGCGCATCCGCATGAACAAGGTGGTGCGCGCCAACCTGCGCGTGCGCCTGGGCGACGTGGTGTCGGTGCACCAGTGCGCGGACGTCAAGTACGGCAAGCGCATCCACGTGCTGCCCATCGACGACTCCGTCGAGGGCGTCTCCGGCAACCTCTTTGACGCCTACCTCAAGCGTGCGTGGCGGTTTGGGGGGTGAGGGGTGAAAATGGGCGGTGGGTTGGGGAGGATTGGGAAGGCGTGAGGGGACGGCGGTGGGTGGTGATTTTGTTGCTCCCACCTCACACCCTGCTCTGCCGCTTCGCTCCGGCCCTCGCACCTTGCGTCGTCCCTCGTCCTCTCGGCTCCTCCCCTCAATCCCGTCCTCCCCCCCTCCCCCCCCGGTCCTTCCACCATCTCTTAACGCAACTTTTCCAACACCACCACCACCGCCGCGCCCCTCCCTCACCCCCCTTCCCCTTCCGTGCCGTCCTCCCCTCCCCCCTCCCTTCCCGTCCTCCCCTCCCCCTTCCCCCCGCCCCTCACCAGCGTATTTCCTCGAGGCCTACCGGCCAGTGCGCAAGGGCGACCTGTTCCTGGTGCGCGGCGGCATGCGCAGCGTGGAGTTCAAAGTGGTGGAGACCGATCCAGCGGAGTACTGCATCGTGGCGCCCGACACGGAGATCTTCTGCGAGGGCGAGCCAATCAAGCGCGAGGACGAGGAGCGCCTCGACGAGGTGGGGTACGACGACGTGGGCGGCGTGCGCAAGCAGATGGCGCAGATCCGCGAGCTCGTCGAGCTGCCGCTGCGCCACCCGCAGCTCTTCAAGTCCATCGGCGTCAAGCCGCCCAAGGGTATTCTCCTCTTCGGCCCGCCCGGGTCCGGTAAGACGCTGATCGCGCGCGCTGTGGCGAACGAGACGGGCGCGTTTTTCTTCCTGATCAACGGGCCGGAGATCATGTCGAAGCTGGCGGGGGAGAGCGAGAGCAACCTGCGGAAGGCGTTCGAGGAGGCGGAGAAGAACGCGCCCGCCATCATTTTCATTGACGAGATCGACTCGATCGCGCCCAAGAGAGAGAAGACGCACGGCGAGGTGGAGCGGCGTATCGTGTCGCAGCTGCTGACGCTCATGGACGGTCTCAAGTCGCGCGCGCACGTGATCGTGATGGGCGCCACGAACCGGCCGAATAGTATTGATCCTGCGTTGAGGCGGTTCGGGCGGTTTGACCGCGAGATTGACATTGGCGTGCCGGACGAGGTGGGGCGGCTGGAGGTGCTGCGCATCCACACCAAGAACATGAAACTCGCTGAAGACGTACGTGCCAGGGGGGGGGACAAGGGGGAAGGACGGTGGGGGTTTGTAGGCTAGGGGTCTGGGGCGAAGGGGGAGAGGGAAGGAGGGGGGAGGAAAGAGTGGGTTGCGAGAGAGAGGGTTGGGGGATGGTGTGGGTGGTGAGAGAAGGGGAACGGATGGTAAGGGTCGGGGGAGGAGTGCACGGGGAGGGGGATGTGTCATGCGTGTGTCCTCTGTGTGTGAGGAGATTGGGTGATCGTTGGTTGGTGCAATGCATTCTTTGACTCGTGTCAACAGCACTCTGGTGCGCACCGCTGTGCTTGCCTTTTCTCACTCGCCCCTCCCCTACTTCCCCACACTTCCCCCCCACCCTCCCCGCCCCCCCCCCCCACCCCCCCCTTCCCCTCCTCCTTCCCCTCCCCCCCTCCACGTTCATTCCGTCTGTCCCTGGTCGCTCCCTTCCACTGCTCGTTTCCCTGCATCACGCATGCCCTTCGACCTTCACCTCCTCTTTCCTCTCTTCCGCACCCCCCCAATTCCTCCCTTCATTCCCTCCCTGCCCTTAATCCCGTATCCACATCCAGTGACCGTGAAAATAATGTACTTCGTTGCATATCCTGCCCCCTCCACCTCTCTGCTCAACCTCCACCTTTCTGCTTCCCCCACCATCTCTCACCCATCCGATCCTCCTCCCCCCGTCCCCCCCGTTCCCCCCGACCCCACCGTGCCTCGCAGGTGGATCTGGAGAAGATAGCGGCGAACACGCACGGGTTTGTGGGCGCGGATCTGGCGGCGCTGTGCACGGAGGCGGCGCTGCAGTGCATTCGCGAGAAGATGGACGTGATCGACCTGGAGGACGACAGCATCGACGCCGAGGTCCTCAACTCCATGGCCGTCTCCAACGACCACTTCACTACGGCGCTTGGCATCTCCAACCCCTCCGCGCTCAGGGAAACGGTCAGTCGGTGCTGTGCACTCCGTGGGCTTGGGGGATGTTGTGGGGGATGCGGGAGTGTGGTGTGTGATCACGGAGGGCGTGGGGCTCGTTTCTGCAGATGGTAGCGGGTTGAGAAGCTGCAGACTGGCTGTGAGGAAGCGTGGTTTTGTGTCTCTGGCTTTATTTTGTTTTTCAGGGGGGAGGAGGGGTGTCTCACTCATATGACTGTGCTGGTGCCTATTCATGTCTGTGCATGCGAGCAGGTTGTGGAGGTGCCCAATGTCTCGTGGTCCGATATTGGAGGGCTCGACAACGTCAAGCGGGAGCTGCAGGAGGTGAGACTACTGCACTCTATCCTTCCTATTTCTCTTCTGCCTTAACCTCCTCTTCTCCTCCCACTGTCCCTTTTCCTCTCCCTCCCCCAACCCCACCCGTCCCGTCCCCTCTTCCTGCAACTAACCCTACCGCACTTCATCGCTGCCATTCATTGTATCGCAATGCAACACTCTCTTTTTGTGTGTCATGCTCCCCCCCTCCACCTTGTTTGATTTTCCACGTCCACACACATTTATCCCAACTGACCTCTCCTACTTCCGCCCCTGGGTGACTCCTCTCCATCCCTCCCTCCGTCCCGCCCCACCCGCCATCCAGACGGTGCAATACCCGGTGGAGCATCCGGAGAAGTTTGAGAAGTTTGGCATGTCGCCCAGCAAGGGCGTGCTGTTCTACGGGCCGCCAGGGTGCGGCAAGACGCTGCTGGCCAAGGCCATAGCCAACGAGTGCCAGGCCAACTTCATCAGCGTGAAGGGCCCTGAGCTGCTGACCATGTGGTTCGGCGAGAGCGAGGCCAACGTGCGCGAGATCTTTGACAAGGCGCGCCAGTCCGCCCCCTGCGTGCTCTTCTTTGACGAGCTCGACTCCATCGCCACCCAGGTCAGCAGGGCAAGCAGCAGAGGAGATGGGGATGGGAAGATGGTGGTGGGGAGAAAGGGAGAGTGCATTAGAACGGGGAATTACGGCCTGCTTTTAAGCATTAGCATTTAGGTGTGCCTGTTGGATTTCAGACTTGCTGTTCCTGTTCTCGTGGACCTGCTTTTTGTCCCTCGCACCTCACTCATGCTCTCTTCTATCCCCAATCCGCTCACTCTCGCAGCGTGGCAGCAGTGTGGGCGATGCGGGAGGGGCAGCGGACCGGGTGTTGAACCAGCTGTTGACGGAGATGGACGGCATGAACGCGAAGAAGACGGTGTTCATCATCGGCGCCACCAACCGCCCCGACATCATCGACCCCGCGCTGCTGCGCCCGGGCCGCCTCGACCAGCTCATCTACATCCCGCTGCCCGACGAGGCCTCGCGCCTCAAAATCTTTGAGGCCGTGCTGCGCAAGTCCCCCCTCGCCAAGGAGGTCGACCTCTCTGCGCTCGCGCGCTACACGCATGGCTTCAGCGGTGCCGATATTACGGAGATCTGCCAGCGCGCGTGCAAATATGCCATCCGGCAAAACATTGAGAAGGTGCGCTTGGTTTGGTGTAAGAGGGCAGGGTGGCGGCGTGTGTGTGGACTTGGAAGAGAATTGATATGTATGTGGTGTGGATGGCCATGTTGGCACGGCATTGCAGGCATGACACTTGATTCCATTCATCATGGTTCCGTGGTTTGTCCTGTCTGTGCGATCGTCTGCATGTTTGACACGGGCAGGACATAGAGAGGGAGAAGCGGCGGGCGGCCAACCCGGAGGCAATGGAGGAGGATGAGGCGGACGAGGTGGCTGAGATCACAGCAGCGGACTTTGAGGAGGCCATGAAGTTTGCCCGCCGCTCCGTCAGTGATGCTGACATCCGCAAGTACGTGCTCATGCTGCTGCCATTGCCCACTGCTGTCACTGCTGCTTTCGTGGGCCCCAAAGGATGTTGTTCTGTGACCAACCACAAGCGGGTATCTTCCGGTGGATTTGCATACCGGTACATGTGTTGACGTTGTATCCTTGCCATGTTTACCTGACCGTGTCTCCACAGGTACCAGGCCTTCGCGCAAACGCTGCAGCAATCTCGCGGGTTTGGCACGGATTTCCGTTTCCCAGATCGCCCTGCTTCTGCTACTCCAGCTGCAGCAGGGGGGGCTGCTGATGCAGCTGCAGATGACGATGATTTGTATAATTGAGCAGCCCTTTGTGTTGTGGGAATACCACGATTTTTTGTGTACATCGTATTGAGAAAGCTTGCTTTCTTTCTTATCAATTGGCATCGTTCTCATTACAAATGGGTTCCCTGAGACATGGGCAGCGGGGGCCTTCGGTTGCGTACGAGTGCCTCTGTGTGTTGTGCCGATGACACCGCATGCGTCGAATCTTGGAGGGTACGGGAGGCTTCGATAAGAGGCTCGACGTATGGCGTAACATACATTTCCTTTGCTGTGTCGCTTCGCCATCTGCCCAGCCGTTTGAAGACTCTATCTGGCACTCCCGTGTTGGCTGCTACTGTGGCTGCACCTTTTCGGAAAGAATGGGTGCCTAGCTGCAGCTCTCCAAGGCCAACCTTTGCGAAGGCTTCCTTGCACCAGTTCCGGATCGTAGTGTAAGAAGGTGGCCTAGCCTGGCCCTCGCTGGTTGAACCGTGACCGAAGACACGAATCAATGGTCCCTCTGACCGTGGACCATAGCCAGCGAGTCGGATGAAGCGTCGGGTGCAGCGCACTGGGCAGCAGGGGTCCGCCGTTGCTGCAATGGGTATCCAAGTGCCGTGACCAGCTTGATCGGTCTTGGAATGTGGTATGAGAATCCACATGACCTCGTCGTCGAATTGGATGTCTTGCCATTTTATGGCTACTAGGTCAGAGTATCGCAGAAATCCGGAGTACATGAGGATGGGGATCAACCCTTTCTGAAATTGCGCAGGATCGTCGGACTGCAAGTAACTCGCGGCCATGTCCCGGACTTGTTGGATCGAGACGGGTTCCTTCAGACGAGCGGGGCGAGGGCAGTGTCGTTTTGCACAGTCACGGACTTGGGTGGTGAACGGTCCGGTTGTCGGGCATTTGCTCCCAGTCATGCGATGAGCGAAGCTGACCGCCGAGCACGTTAGCTGCACTACGGACAGGGTGGCTTTGCGTCGGATTGCGTGTACCAGGTACAGCGCGAGGGTCATGTCGGATGCCGGAAGGAATGGAAGGTTCACTTTTGTGCAGAAGGCTCGAAACTTGGCCCAGTATGGTTCATATGTCCGGATCGTAGAATCGGCGCGGGACTGCGCGAGCATGTTGATCAGTTGGTCGTGTAACTTTGGGAGCAAATCTGAACACAAGGTGTAGATATTTTGAATTAGTCAAATGCCACTCGCAGTGCAGTGATTGGGCTGTGCGGTAGTCCCATGCCCGAAAAAGCAGTTGAATGGGACCCTACGTCTAGGCATTGGCTTCCGTGTGTCAGGGGGATGTGCGCGTGGATGTATGGTGCCCAAGTGCGTGGGGAGGGTTGCAAGAGTGGCCACCAGCTTGCACCTGGCCAGTGCGGAACTATCAGTGTGAGTGATGCATGGGTGCGTTGTGCGTGATGGAGGACGGCTGGGATCAGTTGAGGTGGGGGGAAGGCGAAGTTGTTTTCAGGTGTCCACGCGATCGAGAATGCATCAACTGCAATGGCTGCCGGGTGGGGAATCTTCGAACAGAATCGCGGCAGTTGGGTGTATCAGAATACTAGCGTGAGGACGATGCATTGAATGAAACAGTTGGGTACAAGTAGCTAACCCTAGTTGGGGTTGTACCCCATACTGGCTACCCCACTACAGCCTACCAACATATAACAGTTTAACACACCCCCATAGGCAAAGTGGGGGAGAACAAAGGGTCACAAGACCAGTCCAGCAAAGCAACGCAAGCCTAGGGTGGATCACAACGTCACCACACTCCGAGCACAAGCAAAGGCCACAAGGCCAGTTCACATGCAGTGCTAGATATAGTACAAGACAAGCAACACAGTGATCAAAACCTAGCAAGCAAGCAAAAAGATATATATAAAGTACAGTACAAAGAAAGTCAAGCAGTAAGCAAATGAGGGAATGTGGACACAAGGCCTAAAGAAGTACAGTGCCGCTGATGATCACTAGGCGGGAGCGCCTTGGTGAAGATATCAGCAGTGTTGGCCTTCGAGTCCACGTACACAAGCCGAAGCTGACCTCGCTGCTGCAGCTCTCGAGCAAGAAAGTAGCGAAGAGCAATGTGCTTCGTCCTGTGCTCCAGTCTGTGCTCCTGACACAAGGCAAGGGCCGCCTTGTTGTCGCCGTACAGAACTGGAGGAGAACTAGGCCGCTCTCCCAAGTCAGTCAGCAGGTAGGTGAGCCAGCGTAACTCCTGTGCAGCCATGGCCGTGGCGTAGATCTCAGCCTCACAACTAGAGCTGAGAACAGAAGAAGAGCGGGTGGACCGCCACGAGACAGAACCAGAGCCAAGGCTGAAGGTGTAACCCTGCGACGACCGCTGCGTAGCCAAGTCGTCCACCCAAGAAGCGTCCGAGTGACCAGTGAGAACAACTCTGTCGCGTCCTCCAAGCACCAGCCCCATGCCTGATGTACTGCACAAGTAACGCAGCACCCTCTTAGCAGCCTCCCAGTGCTCTCGCCTGTGTCTCCCAGGCGCAACGTAACGAGCAAGGATGCTAAGAGGGTACGCGAGGTCAGGTCGCGTGCAAGTCATCAGGTACATGAGGCAGCCTACAAGCTCTGGGTACGGGCCACTCGGCTCTACGGACTCGTCCGAAGGTGGAGCTGAGAGCGAGTGGCTGGTAGCCAGAGGTGTGGCCTGTGGTGAGGAGAACTGGAAGCCGAAGCGCTGAAGGACCTGCTGCACCATGTGTGACTGAGTCAGGGTAATGGTGCGGCGTGCTCTGTTCCGGGTGATCTGCAAGCCAAGGTAGCTACGCAGCTCACCCAGGTCAGTGCAGGTGTGTCTCTTCTGCAGCTCCGACTTCACACGAGCGAGTGCCTCAGTGTCAGCAGTAGCAAAGACCAAGTCGTCGACGTACACGAGAATGTAGAACGGCGGCAGCGACGTGTCTGTGCGCAGAAACAGCGACGGGTCAGAAGTAGACGGCGCGAACCCAAGGGCCGCAAGTGTAGTCCTCAGTGTGTCGTGCCACTCACGTGGCGCCTGGCGGAGACCGTAGACTGGCCGGCAGAGGCTCCACTGGGTACCAGGAGGAAACGACCCAGTAAAGCCAGGTGGGCGGCGCAGCCAGATCTCCTCGTGCAGGCTGCCCTGCAGGAAAGCTGTGCTGAAGTCAAGAGAGTGAAGCTCGTAGTCACGGTGAGCAGCAACGTGCAGCAGAACCCGAAGAGTGGTCATCTTCGGGGTGGGGGAGAAGGTCTGGAAGAAGTCAACCCCCTGGCGCTGACTGAAGCCTCTAGCAACGTAACGAGCCTTGAAGACAGGCGGAGAACCCGGCGGCCGCTTCACCCTGAAAATCCACATGCCATCGACGATGTTCGCCCCAGGAGGGGGAACCTTGTCGACGTAGGTGCCTGTGGACTTCCAGGATGCCATCTCTGCGTCCATGGCTGTCTGCCACTGAGAGGAGTAGGGACCCGAGATCGCCTCTGCGTAAGAGCGCGGAGTGGGGATGTCTAGTGCATCCGGGTCTCCCTCAGGGGCAAGCAACCAGGCCACGAGATGAGGTACAGCAGCCGCAAGAGAGTCAAAGTCCTCCTGCCTGTCCTCAAGGACGTCCGTGCCAAGAGCACACTCACCCCCGACGGACGGAGGACAGACAGACTCAGACTCAGCAACAAGACTGGCGGCGTAGTCTAGGCGACATGCAGCAGCAAAGTCGACAAGCTCAGCGACCAGGGCAGACGCAGCAGAAGACTCAAACGACGGGTCAGTGACAACAGTGGCGAGAAGACGCGTAACAGTAGGGTGGGCAGCACGAACACTGTCAGACTCAGGGTCGGGAACGTCAGGAAGAGAAGACGCAGGAGGAGACGGTAGGGGGACACGCTGTGGACCAGTGGAAGGACGAAGGGCCATAATATGCGTGCCAGGAACAGGAGGAGGACGCGGACGCGCGACACGACGACCAGTGGGACCAGTGCGCGCAGTGCGAGCAGTGCGAGTAGCACGAACAGGCGAGGCAGGACGAGACACAGGCTCACGACGCTCCGTAAGCGAGTCCGGCAGTGCAGTGTAAGGTACAGGAGCAGGGAGGGGGGAGCCAGGCTGGAGGGGAAGGCCAGTGGAAGACGGGAGGGAAAGAACCTGGCGAAGCACCGTGTCAGGCGGTGGCAAAGCCGACGGTGACGGAGGAGCGAAGAACAGGCGCGACGGCGGAGCTCCGCCAGCACCTCCAGCACCCGCAGCACCAGAAGCACCAGGACCAGCACCCTCCGCCGCAGCACCCCCAGAGTCGGCGACGTCAGCACCAGAGGCCCCAGCAGCGTCAGACCTCCCCTCGCCAGCACCTCCAGAACCAGCAGGACCACCGTGTCCAGAACCGTCAGCTCCAGTGTCGTCAGCTCCAGCAGCTCCAGTACCGCCAGGAAGAGCACCCCCAGAGCCGGTAGCTCCAACTCCGCTGGCACCGCCAGCTCCAGAGTCCCCAGCTCCAGCAGCTCCAGCCTCAGTGCTCCCAGAACAGCCAGTCCCGGCAGCTCCAGTACCTCCAGTACGAGCACCTCCAGGACGAGCAGCTCCAGAACCTCCAACTCCAGCAGGGCCACGAGGACGGCGAAAGCGCCGGACGTACCAGTCACGAAGCTGCTGCGGTGTGAGAGACTGCTCAGCACCCCGAACCGGAGCACCCCCAGACGCAGCAACCCCAGGCTCCGTAGGCTCAGTCGCAGTACCCCCAGGCTCAGTGCCCCCAGGCGCAGCACCCCCAGGCTCAGCACCCCCAGACTCCGTACACGCAGGCTCAGCACCCCCAGTCGCAGCACCCCCAGGCTCAGCACCCCCAGGCTCCGAACTCTCAGGCACAGTACCCTCAGCTCCAGCACCCTCAGTCCCAGCACCCGCAGCCGCAGCACCCCCAGGCCCAGCACCCGCAGGCTCAGCACCCCCAGGCTCAGCACTCCCAGCAGCACCACCTGCAGCAGCACCTGAGTCACCTGTGACCTCGACAGGCTCAGCGACGGGAGGAGGGTCTACCTGAGAGACACCTGAAGGAGCAGGACCCT